TGTGTTTTTGTTAAGACCACTGAGCATTGCTAATCCTTTTAAAGCAAGCTTTAAAAAAAACCTCAGTATTCCTTTTTCATTTCTAGATTGGAAGCAACAGAATAATACCTTTTAGTAACCACTAGGCTATGCTAAGATACAACTCAATCTACTTTTTAAAATAATGCATGATTTAAATGCACGCAGATGTGCAAAAGCACATCAAAAAACCCCCATGCATTAGAGAAGATATTTAGAGTAACCCACATATCTTGAGTCAATTAACCTGTCCTGCTGGGGTTTTAAACCCTAACAAAATTATGAATTAAGGAGATCCAACTGAGCCTTCCTGAAGCAAACAGTACCTCCTTAATGCTGCTATTGTAACTCAACAGAAATAAACAGGCTTTTAGCATTTTATAGAGGAAGTTTTAAGCTCAAATTTTACTTCTTTCTTCTGATGATTTGTTTTAGATTCAAGATTGCAACAGAAAAAAATATCAGAAATGTTAAAAAAAATCTTTTATATGGATGTTTGCTTTACTAAGTAAAGGAGATTTTAAAATTATCTGGTATGTGGTCATAATTATAGATAAGGGAAAAGTTACCACATTCTGTGAGAAAGTAAATACAATACAAATTATGAGAAAGGAATCTGGATTATCATGAATTGTCAATAATTGGAATGTTTTACAAATCCCTATTAATGAGCGATATTTACCTTGTCACTACTCAGACTAGTTGTGAATACATTACAAGGCAAAGCATCGACAGGATTCAGATACAAAAGGATAATTATCTATCAATCAAGTTAATTCCCACTTTGAGAGCCTTTCATGCAAAAATAAAAATGTAAAATAAGTAATAAGATTATGTTTACTGTAAGATGTATAATAGTGTTCCATTTTTTAAAGCATGTAACAGAATACATAGAAAAACCATGAATTATTTCCATAGTTTTTTTTTGAAGTCAAATTAGTGGAGTAACACTAGATTGACTGTATTAATGTGTCAACATAAAAATAAACCTCTTTTTTGGAAAAGTACAAATGAACTGCAATTGAGATTCTCAGTAGCATTGAGTTATAAAGATTTTTATTTCTTGCTCTCAGAAAGGTTATAATAATTAAAAACAAATTCCTTTATAATCTAATTTTAAATATAATTTTTGGTTATGACTGTGGGAATCAAAGTGAGAACATGAAGGTGCTGCAGTCCAGAATTCTATTTGTGACTTTAGTACAAGACAGTATAATTTGTAGAATTGAATATTCTTGAAACATAAATGCAAGACAAATTTTGAAGTCTTCCAGCATATCCCCTGTGTTAGTAAGTAAAGTCAGTCTTAAAAAGAGGAAAATTTTCTCAAGAGGTAAAATTGAAAACCACCATTAGACTTGGCCTGTGTGTTTTGCCAACCCTGCAGAACCTAAAATATTTGGGCACAGTTCCCATATCTACAAAACTGTCTCTTACTGTAATTATCTTAGATAGAATATTAACCTACTAAAACTTATCCTTCTGCAATTGGCTGTAGGATAAAATTTGAATTCAACTCTGAATAAATTTTCAGATTCTCATCTGAAAAACATTTTGTAATGCCAACAGATTTCCTTCTTTTCCTTTGAGAGACAATGAATCTTGTATGTTAGTTTGTTAACTCTGACATACAGAAAATGTAAGTGGTCTAGCTCAAACATTGGTTAAGGATAAGGCCTGAGATTCCTCCAAAAATACAATAAAGAATTATAAATTAGCTGGGTTGAACACACTAACTACACTAGAAGTCTACTATAAGGGTTGTAAAATTCAACTTGCTGACATGATGAAATTCCAGGAGAAAGGATGATCACATTCTGTCATCCTTTTATATCTGTTCCTTTTACATACTCTATGACCCTGTACTTAAATCTATGACAACCTTCTAATAATAGAATAAAATAGACAAAAATCTCCCTGTCATTTCCACTGTTCAGGATAGCAGCAGCTGCCTTTGAGCTCTTCAGCACTTGATGTTATCCTACAGCCTCCTTCATTATATCTTATGCAAACCCTGCTTTACAGAGAGACTCGAATTTCCATATTGTGCAGGTTTTCCAGGGAATTGCAGAGCCTAGCACTGTTATAACCCTGCTCAGCAGAGCACAAACCTTTGGCTGAGCAAAGTGACAGTGCCTCCACTTCCACAGTTCCTCCAGAGTGAGGGAACATTTTCTACCAGATGCTTCCTAAGATTCACCTTCATATGTGTATGATCCTGGGAGGTGGTACTATTTTCCCTCAATAACAAGACAATTGAAATACTAAAAGTTTAAGTTTTCAAACATTAATTTTTAGGATATTTGTACCTGAACAGCACAATGATTATTTAAAGCCCCATTTCCACTGACTTCAGCTAATAGCTGTTAGTAGCATGCACCTCTATGAAATCAGATTCCAATTTATCAAACTGGATATAGGAAACAAATAACATACCATCAGTTACTATAGGAAGTCTTACAAGGAAGTCTTTCTGTGCAGCATAAAATAGGGATAAAAGTCAGTTTCTTTCAAGCAATCCTCAACTATTTTAACTGTGAAATATTTCTTTGCCTTTCTGATGATACTGCCTCTCATCCATCATGTTTCCACTCTCTTCACTAATGCAGATTTCCCTGATAACACAGCATCAGTTCAGAACCAGAGCAGCTTTAATATGTGTGTTGAAGCAGATGGGAATTCCTCTTGAAAAAACATCAAATGACCACTTAATACTTATACTTACCCAGGAAGTCAAGAGAAAGCTGCAGAGAGTGCCTGGATGATGGCTCTTCATAACATTAATAGTTCCTGACTGTACACACTAACAATTCTGCTTGCAGGTGTTCTTTTCCCTCCTAATAAATAACCTTTTCCTTCCTCTCACTGCAACTCCAGTGTTTCCTACAGTACCTCATCAATCTCTTCAATGGTTATTGAAGGAATGATAAAGTTTTTCTTTTATTTCACATATGTTAATGGTGCAGAAGTCCACACCTCCGCTGGTACCCTAACTTTCCTTAACAAGTGTCTACACAATAATCATTATAGCTAATAGCTACAAAGAAAAGGAAATGATGACTGACCTAGAGCATTTTTGGTGGGAAGAGCTACAGTATCTGCCTGAAGAATAGTCACAGCAATGACCCTGAAGTAAAATGTAGATGTAAACACAGTGCCAGGAGATGAGTATTCAAAATCAATCTGAGGAAGCAACCATCAGCAGCAGACAAAAGGGATAATGGTTGAACTAAATTATTGACAACAATATTTGATTGGGTTCTTTAATGGTCAAACAAGACTACTGATATAAACCAGTATGGAAAACTGAACTGGGGAGGTTAGGAAGACCCTCTGAAGATCCCAGAAGAACAGCTCCTTACCAAGAAAGCCTCTGGGAAACACAGGAGCATGATGAGAGGAAACATTGGAGTTTTCTCCTTGTTGCTGGATCCAGTTGCATGTTATACTCTTAACTGGGGTTGCAGACAGCATGACCCTAACATTATCAGTGACCTGATTAAAAATTGGAACTTCTCCTAGTCATTGCTTGGGATAGGTGCATGGCTGCACAACATGGCAGCACAACACACCCCTGATGTGTTTAGGGTGGAAGTTTGCAATTGAACCAGGTCATGTGCAGGTGAAGCTCTTGGATATCATTCTTTGCTGATGTGCTTCAAGTCAGCCTCCATGGCTGCCTTTTGACAAAGCTGCTGAAGAGGGCAGGCAGGAAGCACCATGCCTCCCTGCACCACTGCAGCAGCTGGATACCTCCAGCAGCAGGAAACTGAATCCATGATAGTGGGCTGGATCTAGGCAAAGATGTGCCACCACCACCAAACCATTTCACAGGTGTTTGGTGAGTGCCAATGAATTGGGCAGTAGGTGGGACTCACAGGACCGCATCATGCTTTAACACAAACACTTATCTCTGCTTTCTACTCCAACTTATTCGTGTCACTTGAGTCTTCCTGCTTTCTCCTGCTACATTATCCCATTTCCCCTATGTATTTGCTGCCCTGCTTGAAAGTTCTCTCAGTTCCAGTCTCCAAGCACAGTAGCTCCAGTCCCCCGTTGACTCCATGATTGGTTTCCCTCCCTTTCCTCACAGCTCCTGGTCACCAGCCACAGGTCTCCATGCATCAAGTCCCATTGTTGCAGTCCTAATAATTTCTATCTAAGTTTTGCAAAACCAAAATGAGGGATATGATTGACACCTGGGAAATTTGAGTCCAACTGATTAACATTTTGACAAAACTTAAGTCAGTTTGGTTGCTTTTTTAAAGAAAGCATAATGCATAGGAAATTTTGGCAATTACTGCCTGTGTACAATGGGCAAAATATAAACAGGAGGAGACTAAAAAGAAACCTATATAGCATTGATTCTTTTTGATTGCTTTATAACAAAAGACACAAACTTGCGTACTGTCAGCAACAATACCTGTTTTTGCAGGAGGGCTGAGGAACAGTGGCAGCAGTTGATTAAAGGAGCTGTCTTTATGAATAATCTATTCTGCACAGTTTCGGTGTTAGACAGAAAAACATCCTTAAAATTAGCATTCATAGACAAATTTTTTTCAAGAGAAAGACCATACAGCAGACAGAGAAAGGAAGACTGTGTGGCAGATACCACTTTATTCAGGTATATAATTAATGATATTTTAATGGGAAAATATTTTTCTCCTAAATATTTTTTAACAAAATGCCATAAATTGTAACATTCAAAACCAGTACATAAATGAGACTGCACTCTTAGTTCTGCATTTTAGATGTAGCTCATCATCTGGATTTACACATCACTGAACATCTGAAATGAACGTTATTCCTGACTAGTCCAAACTTTTTGTATAAAATGAAGATATAACACAATACCACAGTACAGGAAATGTTTTAGACATTTACAATGTTTTACAAACATTATGATTTTAGATACTTTGTTAAAACACAGGCACAGCAAGACAAAATAATAAAATAGAGACAGCCAGGAAATGGACACTTACCCACAGTGCTTCATGTGAGGTGGTTTATCCATTCTCACTGCCAGTTTAATTTTCAGGTCACTGTCCTGACTGTTTTTGGGAACTATCATTTTGTGCAGATCAGGAGACTTTGGGCTATTGGACGTTGGATATAACACAACCTGCAAGTCATGAAAAGAAAAAGTTCAGCAAGTTGATTTACAAAAACTCTTTGTAATCTTTAATGGAAACATCTAAGCACTGAAGATTCTTGTTGCATCTCCTCCAATACGAAAGATGACTAAAAAAGATTTCCTAAATCTAATAAACCAGCTGACTCAATCTCATTGTAACAGACCAATTTCAAAAATTAACTCCTTCCTTCTCTTACAAATGGGAATTTTCATATTATGAGTTAATAAAATTTCCTCCTGTTAATACATTTTGAATGAACTTTTTTTTTTAAAGGAACAGTTGGCATTTCAAAAGGGTCATGTACAATTAAATAGGAACGTAAACTTTTACATTATTCAGTGCTCTGCTGGAAACACCCTTTTGAAGCCATTTGTTGTAGCGTTATGCAATGGATCAGCCCTCAGGGGTGGCATTGCTTGGGAGAAGATAACCAAAGTGTATGTCTTGTTACTGTCTCCAATTTTTGATCAATAGCATCAATAAAAATCAATTTTAGTAAAAAACCACAGAAATTGTTGATGAATTCCAAAGCACCTTTGCTTCAAGTGGAATATAATCGATGTAAGATACTATGTCCAATTCACATGTGATATGACACAAACCTTTTGTGTAATCCACAGTAATAGACATAAAAACCCCCAAACAATTGAATTTTAAATATTTAATTTTTAAAACATTTATATAAATTTCTTGAAACTTTTATTAACAAGTAATTTTAGATTAATGTAAGTCACAAGCTGTTAAATATTTACTCACTGTCCAAAAAGTATCCATTTATAGTCAGTACAGTTAATAATTACTGCTTCATCAAATCCTTACCCAAAGTGACATGTTCAGCAGTTAAATGTTGCTGAAACATAATTTCCTTTCATTCTTATTATAAACACTACTTTTGAATCTGGACTTCGAAGTATTCTAAAGTATTAGAATTTAGACTCTGAAGTATTCTAAATGTACTACTTGGGAGATTTCCATAACATTCAGTGAGTTCTGAATTACAACTACCGTGAATTATTTTTATCATTTCAGAAGTAACAAAACTCCAAAAAGCATCATTCTTTGCATCTTTCATTTCTTGAAAAATAAAATCAATCATTATCTTAACCATCAAGTTAATTTCCTACACATCGTACTTGTGTCATATATAAAAAACACAATATATTGTCCTCTGTGTTACTACAAAGGTTAAGTTAAGGATTTGAGCAAAACTGTCCAAGCAAGTATAAATGTAACCGATGTTAAGTCAAAAATATTACAACAGTGTCATTCAGATCTAATCATCTGAAAGATGGTGTAAGTGGAAGGCCTTCAGTTTCTCATCTCAATATTTTGCAGAAGCACATTCTGTTAATATCGGGAGCTCCAGTCAAGCAGAGAAATATGATGCATCACTCCTAATCAAATATGCAACCTTTGTAAAACCAGAGGAAGAATTAACCTGTCAGACCTATTGAGTACATTCAGTACCTTTTAAAGCAATAGCAGAAGAATTCTGATTTTAGCAAACCAGGTTACTTTTTTTTCTTTTTGCAAATGCACAGAAACTACTACTTATAACAGAGCTTATTCCTTCTTTCTGGTTTTCATTCTGAGTAAAAGGCCTTCCTTAAAGAACATTTAAAAACATTATGAGCATGGCAACCTTTGCGTTCTGATGCATAAAGAGGGAAATTATTTTTAGTTTATTTATCCCTTTAACTACAAGGCTATATAAGCAGAATTATTATACATTCCTCGCATTTAATCACTAGGCATTCACATAGGGACTGTAGGTGATGCTAAGAATTTTTCCTGTTCTACAGTCTGTAGTTCCTGTTGTCCTGTAGCAGCTTATTACAACTCATGCATCTCAAGTGACATCTTTCTCCTGTCAACTTCCTGAGTTTTCAGAATGCTGATGAAAATAAAAGTAGACAAGAGTATAATTAATTTATATCTGTGGTAGTGACAACTCCTTTTCTGAATTTTATAAGGAGTATCACGGAGACTCAATTTCAAAGCTCTCGCAAAGAATAAGTATCTGTCAGACTATTTGAATATGTACTGTGCTGGGTTTGTATTACATTTTGTCATGCCTTCCAGCTTTAAACAACAAGAGTTTGAAAGAACTTTGTAATTAAACTTTTTGTTATGCAAAACACACACAAAGCATTTGACAAGCATTAATTATCTTCGCAATAACCTTCATACTAATATTGCCCTTAAGGGCATTGATAGCTACTGTGTACCACAGCATCAGGTGGCACAAGTTGTAAGCTCACACAAAATCACTGAAACCAAAACACTTGGCAACTTCTCCTTGATAAGAAAAGGAAAAAATTGCTGAAATTTCTATTAAAAGCATTCTCTCCACTATGAAACACTTCAGTGTGAGGTCATTGCCACTGTCCATGGAGAAACTTCCTAAGGTTATTCTGTCTCATATTTTCTTAAGGATTTAATCTTCTGGTTGTTTCATAATCTACTTTAAAAAATGAAATTGTATCAACTCAAATGCCTTCTCTGGCAGATATAAGAATCACCTAGAGGATATCCTCACTGTGCCTAAAATTATTATAAATTTAATAGAATTCCTACTGAATCATGTATTTCTGTATTACATCATATATTTCTGAAGTTTATTTTATTTTGATTTATTTTATTGTTCATATACCTGTGGGTAACACCATGGTAGTTTATTCAGCAGCAGCACAGAGCATTATGAGTTTTTAGTACATGAAAGTGTTTACCATAATCATACTAACAGGTAATTGACATTAAAAAGTATAATGAACTATTAATGACTAGAAAGCTACATAGCAAGCATAGCTGCTGTGCATTGCAGTGCTTCAACTCATTTAAGGCAAATTAATAGTATCAGAACAGTGTGGGTTGAGATAATTCAGTAAATTTAATCATATAATCATTAAAAAATACTTAACCACGTGTTCCAATTATATCTAGCATTATATTTCCTCAAACTACACTGTAACTGAAAAAGTGTCAAGTTCATCTTAGGACCCTCCTCATCTGGATAAAAAATAAACACAAAAATCTTAAATATTATAGATCATCACTTGTAGCCATTTGTGCCAAGTGATAGTCTCAAAAATATTGTTTCTTAGTTGTGAATGACTGAAAATGTTTCTCTACCTTAAAAGTTCACAGGTAGAAAGATTTTGAAGCTAGTATCACTTGACAACTAAACTAATCACCATTTTTGTGATTCCATTATTTATTTGGGTCCCCAGCTGGGTCACAATAGAAGTTAATTTAAGCACACCTGAGCCGCTAAACAGTCAATCCAGACAAGCAACTATGAATTCTATTTTTGGCCCATTGATCATATCTTCTTTTAAAGGTATGAAAGAAAGGTTGAGTTGTCCAAAGCACTCTAAAAGCTTGAACAAAAAAAACTGGGGGCATTCTTACTTTCTTATAGAAGATAACTGAACAAAAGATTCAGAGTCAAAAACACTGTACTGAAGTATCTCCTACTGGTACTCCCATGTTGAGATAAAGCTCTCAAGTTAACCATTCCTGGCTCCAGTTATCCTGTCGTCAAAAAAAATATGCAGCCTTCAAAAGGGACTCATGAAGGCAAGAGGAAAAGAGACCAACAAGACCGTGAATAAAATCTAGTCAAGATATCCTCTACATTTTCCCCCACCTGATACCTGTGGCTGTCTGTCAGCCAACTTATGTCCTCACGTTCTGGATGCTTCCCCCAGTCCTCTACTTCCACCAAACCCCATGATATTCAACTGTTAAACCCAAGTGATGGAGTTACTCACACTTTTGACCCAAGTATTTGAGATGAGAAAGATTTTTCAAGTAGGGATGATCTAAGACATATTTTGAGATCTTAAGAGTGTGGGCACCAGACCTCGGTAATCATGGTAATTCTGAGCTGACTATGCTGAGTTTTGGCTCACTGTCACAAGCAAAAGAGATCAAAGTGAAGAAGATCTGCATCTTAATGCCTGGCTGAAGAGGCAGGTGATGTTTAGCATGCTATTACAGAAAATTGTTATCTCGCCTTCAGTACCGACAGAACTGTAAAAAAAAGAAAGATGCAGCCTATCCACAGTCTCCTCTTCATAACACAGCCTGGGGTCACCTTCAGAAAGCAACATCTTCAGAAAGCAAACCAAACCTCAGCCTAGCCCCATCCCCAGGGATGCTACTGATGCATGGGGCTGTCCTGGTGTCTCCCAATCCTGCCCTGTGCCCTGATACCCCAGGGAGTTGCTCCTGTTTCTGGCATCCAGCCTCCTATCCTTTCCTCAAACTCTATAGTCCCCAACAGAAAAGCTGGAAAATTTTCTGAGACAAAAGTTCTCATGCCTGATGTGCCCTTTCAGAATACAAATGCTATTTTTTGCTATTTGCATTTGCTACAAATGCTGTTTTTTTCTGCTGACCAAAAGAGCATTTCCTTTTTTTATCTTATTCCATACACAGAATGAAAAATTTTAACCTCATATCTTAAGGTCTGGCTAAGTTACAAACAGTTGAGAACTGAATATACATCACGTGGTCTTAATCATAAGAGCTTTGTGGTGTCTCTTTAGAATAAACAACACACTCCTAGTCATGCAACAAATTCCACAAGGAACCAGAGAAACCAAGCTTTCTAATTCTCATACTCTATGACATTTCTACCTCAATTTGTGATTATTTAAAGCTATGAAAAACAGTGCTGGACACATAAGATCACACAATCCATCAACTGCATTTGTTGAAGCTTTCATCATGCAACAGGACTAATTAATACAATAAAAGCACTTTCATGTTTTAAAATGCAGTGATTTGAAAAGATGCCAGTGCAAACAAAGAGGATAGGCAGCATTTAAGTTATGAAGCAAATACTTATTATTAGGCAAATGCAAACTTAAACTGCTGGTCATCCTCTGAACAAATATCATAGAAAAAGCTCCAAGTTAAATATGCTGTTTCAATGATTTGAAAATAGTTGTAGAACAAAAATTATTGAAGCTGATTTGGG